ACCATTTCTGATTCAGGCCAGGATGCCATTGGCCCTCTTGGCCACCCGGGCACACTGCTGGCTCATGTTCAGTCAGCTTACAACCAACACCCCCAGGTCCTTTTCCACCTGGCAGCTTTCCAGCCACTCCTCCCCAAGCCTGGAGCGTTGCCTGGGGTTGTTGTGCAGGACCCGGCACTTGGCCTTGTTAAACCTCACACAACTGACCTCAGTCCATTGCTCCAGCCTGTCCAGATCCCTCTGCAGAGCCTTCCGACCCTCCAGCGCATCCACACTCCCACTTAATTTCATGTCATCTGCAAATTTACTGAGGGTGCATTTGATCCCCTCACCCAGGTCATTGATAAAGATACTAAGCAAGAAAGGGCCCAAAACTGAGCCCTGAGGGACACTGCTCGTGACTGGATGTCAGTGGGATTTAATTCCATTCACCACAACTGTCCGGGCTCGGCCATCCAGCCAGTTTTTAACCCAGCCAAGAGTCCACCTGTCTAGGCCATGAGCCACCTGCTTCTCCAGCAGAATGCTGTGGGAAACAGTGTCAAATGCCTTACTGAAGTCCACGTAGAAAACATCCACCACTTTTCCCTCACCTACTAGATGGGTCACCTGATCATAGGAGGAGATCAGGCTGGTCAAACAGGACTTGCCCTTCATCAGCCCATGTTGGCTGAACCCTATTCCCCTATTATCCTGCACTTGCCATGTGATAACCCCCAAGACGAACCATTCCATAATCTTCCCTGGCACCAAGGTCAGGCTGACAGGCGTGCAGTTCCCCGGATCCTCCTTGCTGCCCTTCTTGTAGACAAGTATCACATTGGCATGTCTCCAGTCATCCAGGACCTCCCCCATTAACCAAGACTGCTGGTAAACGATGGAGAGAGGCTTGGCAAGTTCCTCCGCCAGCCCCCTCAGCACTCTCAGGTGGATCTCATCCCGCCCAATAGACTTATGGATGTCCAGTTGGCTTAGTAGGTCATTCACTATTTCCTGGATTATGAGGGGATTCTTCTCATCCCCAGCCCTTTCTTCTAACTCAGGAGACTGAATGCCATGAGGGTAACTGGACCAACTATTAAAGACTGAGGCAAAGAAGGCATTCAGTACCTCAGGTTTTTCCTCGTCCTTGGTAACAATGCTCCCCCTCACATCTAATAAAGGATGGAAATGCTCCCTGATTCTTTTTTTTTTGTTAATATATTCATAAAACCACTTTTTGTTATATCTTCCAGCACTTGCCAGGCTGAGTTTTAGTTGAGATTTTGCACCCCTATTGTTCTTTCTACATGACCTAACTAAATCCCTATACTCTTCCTGAGTAGCCTGCCCCTTCTTCCAAAGGTGGTAGACTCTCCTCTTTCTCCTAAGTCTCAACAAAAGCTCCTGTCATTAGTATACTTTCCAGTCTTCTGGTTTTGCTCTTTGCACTTAAGTTTTGTACATACAACCAATTTTGCTTTCATCACCTTTTCTTAGGATCATTATGATGATTGCTAAGTATTTCTGCTTTTCCAGCTTGAGGTTTTCAAAAACCTTACATCATACAGTCTTGAATTTTCCCTGGCAAACTGGCCAAGCTTCTTAAGATTTTACTAAATTTGGCCCAGCCAGTCAGAACAAAAACCTGACCTTCCTCCTGTTATCTAAAGCAAGTTGCTGGTTCACCTGAATATAAAAGTTTACATAGTTCATTTCATTAGTGGTCCATCAATCTGGTTCTTCCCTAAAGTTTCTGTCACATCTATTCTAATGGGTTAGTGTAACCCTAAAATGTGCTTAGCCATAGAGTTTTCCTTGAAAGTAAATCTCATTTGCAAATTTTTAGCATTACCAACTACTCTCAGTCGCAATGTGTTTTATAAAAAACAAATCCTAAAAACATCCATGAACCTTAAACACCATCTCATCCTGAATTGCATCACAGATTGCAGGAACACACTGAGAGACCTCAAGACAGGTTGTATTAATCCACTCAACCCTTCATGCTGCTATGCCCAGATTACATAAAATGTATTTAAACTCAATGTGTTGTATAGCCTGAGATAGGAGTGGTGAATCCCCTAACCTGCCCAAAAAAAGTGAGGAATCATTTCAGGATTTGAAGTGAATAGAACATGTAACTTTTCTCTCATGTTCTCATTAATGTTTTGTCTTTTATCTTGAAAATTCAAGCAAGTTTCAACCCCATTGTACTGGATGCTCCAGAGATATATGGCGTGTAACTCCCTCGTGCGATTCGAGGACAACTAGAAGGCAGTAGAAGTCCAGGCCTTTTTGAAATCCTGTATTAAATGACCAAGACAACTTCAGGGTACTTTGCTGACTGCAGAGCAATCACTCTTACTGCAGTACAATATCTCAAGCTCCATCATGTTTTCTCCCACATCTTTACTCTCTCCTTCCCAGCTGTCAGGATGGTACAGAACTAGATGTTGACTATTGTTGAGAATTAAGGGGGCATGGGGGAGTCCAGGGCTTTGCAGTACTTATCCTGCCAATGCCTGCCTGTAGTAATGACTGAGAAAAGACAGCTGAGATGATAAAAGCTTATCCAAACTTTCTGCAGTTAGAATAGGTAAACTACCTACTTCTAAAGGTCAACAAAAAAATTGACACTGAAAGGATAAAACTAGGAAGATGGATATAAGTCTTCAACAACAAGTGGACTGGCATGACCCTGAAAACATCAAGCTCCCTACAGTAGCTCTTTCTCTATCATCTTGGATATCACTTATTTTAATAACACATTTACTGATGAAAGTAAAGCTAATGTAGCATGACGAGAAAGATGGAAGAGAAGGCATCTTATTTGTCAATACATCGTCACTGTCACCCCGCTTTGGTAATGAGGTGCAATATGACCGGCAGTCTGATTTTCAAAAACACCACGCACCGGCACGTCTCTTCTTTTCATCTGAAAGTGTGGGAGATGGGAACTACTGAAAAAAAGCTGCTGTCACTCGTTGCTTTTTTCCTCCCCTAACTGGTACATTTGTAGTAAATAACTTCATCCATTTGACATGAGCTTTAGAATGTATTAGAATAAAAGATTTATGTAGTTAAAATATCCAGTTCTCATGATTCTACCATTACATTTATGTTGTTGGGTATTTTCCTTCTAGTACAGCTCATGCTAGTATCTTTGCTTTCATTTTATTCAGAAAGTATAAACTCTCCAATTGTAAAGAAGAGTGTGGAAACGGACCCTTCCCATAAAGCTTAAACAAGAGAAGACAGGCAGGACAACATTCTGCTTCATGTAGTAAGAGAAAAGGGATTTGAGTGATGATTTTTTAAAATCTGAGGTCAGGAACAATTTGTAGATTGTTTTACTAAACCACTAAGTAATGATAATAATCAAAATCTTAGACAAAAGTTACTCTGTTGCTGCTGCTGAAGAGAGATTTACCTCAATTTCCCAGGGATTACCAGTTTAATCATCTTTAATAACCTGCAATTGTCAGACAAACATGTTTTATTCCTTTACTTCAACAACAGCCCAAAAGTGCCAAAAACATCTACATTTATCTTCAGTCAGTGCAGTAGATGGCAAGACCAGAAGGAGCTTTATCTAACAATAGCACTGGTGCCTTACTATTGTCTTAAATATTTCAACAAAGAGATACCTCAGTGTATTTCCCTGGCTACCCATGAGTTGCCAAAGGTCAATAACTTCAGCTTTAAAAACAGACTGATCTCTAAAGCTTTTCTTGCAGCTGAGAGATTAAGGCAGACTCTTATAAACATATTTATGAAATAAGAGCAAGGGACTTCAGCCTGGCAGTTTGGAATGTAGCACCATTCTGTATCTATATTATTTTTGGGATTAGAAACCATTAATTCCTAAAATTGTGATGTGGAGCATAAGTGGCAACAGCTGCAGCTATCTGTTTGCTGTCTTTCCACATGGGCTATTTTCTGTGCAAGATATGCATGAAGAACATAAATAAATGGGATGCTACCTCCTTAGACAGGGCCTGGCAAATTTAAAATAAAAAACTAAAAGGCATGAACCATGTTTGCCTTAAAATGATTAACTTAGGTGTTAATAAAAATGGCATCTTAAGGCAAGTCCTTACACACTTCCTGTTTCTGTAATCCATTCTTCTTGCATGCACAAGCTAATAAAATGCCTCTTCTTATTATGTCACTACTGTACATGAAACATTTCATGCATAAAATACTAATCCCAGACACAGGTCTTTGAAAGAATGATCATACTGGCTGAAGGGAGAGAGAGAGGTTTCTGAATATAGCTCCAGTAACATTTTCCAATCCCAAAGCAAAACTACAGCTATATTGAAGCCCATGGCTTTTCAATGGCACGAAAAAGCAAAGCTTTGGACATTTCAGTGATGTGGATAAACTGACCAAAGAGAATCAGAATGAGACACACTATGCATGCCTTTCATATTTGGCCAGTAAAGACAAAAAAAAACCCCACCCCAATAAAAAACCCAGTTACTTGGGTTTTCTTTGTCTCTTACTTTTCACTAATTTTAACTTTCTAAAGAACTTCTTTCAAAGTGAATCTGGGAAAAGTAAAAGTTCTAGTGCTCACTAGGAAAAAAAAGGAGGAGGAGCAGAAAAAAAAGAAAAAAATAACCTGAATGAACTTAGTCATTAATTCATCATAAAATTTGTATTGTTGAGAATTGTGACTGCTTATTTCACAAATTTCAGAATACTGCACTGCTAGTAAAACATTCACTCAAATATGTAACAAAATACCTCAGTACAGGTATTTTAAATTAGGAGAATCGTGCATGTCTGATCTTCCATTCCTTCTTGGTGGTATTATGGACTGCATGTGAACTGTGCCCCATGCCAAGGCCCTGCTGACCCTTGTGCACAGATCAGGAACTTGGCTGGAGCAAGGCACTTTTCTCCCACAGTCCACGTTTCTTTGACAACTGAAGCCACAGTGCAGGTCAGTGAAGGGAGGGGAATGTTACAATTATTTCTCGCCATGATACTGAATCAGAACATGGCTGAGATTTTAGTGTATTCAGGCAATTTCAGTTCCTTCAATTTAGTCCTAGCCTCAGATCTACCATTTGAGAGACCTATGAGTGTCTTCTGCCCTCCACAGGAAGGCTGCACTCCAGAGTTAATTACAGAGGTCTTCATTCAGACCACTTCTAAATGTTTTCCCTACTAGAATCTAAATTTCTTTTCTTGCAAGAGTATTTTACAGTTTAAGAGGCCTGAAAAGTCATATAAAGAAAGTTCTTCAAAGCAGCAGTCCCTCTGCTGCCAGATGGGTAGCTCATAAGTAAAGGGTTATAGCATTAAGCATAACAGAGTTCAACACCAGAAAATGTTTTTCAATAGGTGTAACTTTGCTAGCCCACAATCTCTCACAATGATTCCTCTGTAGTGGGTTGATTCTGGCTGGACACCAGGAGCCTACCCAATCTACTCTATAACTCCCCTCCTCAGCTGGATAGGGGAGAGAAAATATAACAAAAGTTTCGTGGGCAGAGATAAGGGCGGGGAGAGACCACTCACCAATTACCACCATTGGCAAAACAGACTCAACTTGGGGAAATTAGTTTAGTTTGTTACCGATCAAATTGCAATAGGATAATGAGAGATAAAAACAAATCTTGAAAATGTCTTCCCCCCACCCTTCCCTTCATCCTGGAATTAACTTTGCTCCTGAGGAGAATGGGGAATAGGGATTGCGGTCAGTTCATCCCCTGTTGTTTCTGCCACTCCTTCCTTCTGAGGGAGATGACTCTTCATGCTCTTCCCCTACTCCTGTGGGGGGTTCCTCCCATGGGAGACAGTTCTCCATGAACTGCAATGCGAGTCCTTCCCATGGGCTGAAGTTCTTCATGAACTGCTACAGCGTCGATCGCTTCCATGGAGTACTTCAGGAACAGATTGCTCCAGCATGGGTCCTTGTGGGGTCACAGGTCCTGCCAACAAACTGTCTCTAGCATGGGGTCCTGTCTCCATGGGTCCCCATGTCCTGATAGGAGCCTGATCTGGTGCAGGCTTCCCAGGGGGTCACAGCCTCCTTCAGGCACATCCACATGTTCCAGTGTGGGGTCCTCCCTGGGCTGCAGGTGGATATCTGCTCCACCATGGACATCCATGGGCTGCTGGGGGACGGCCTGCTGCACCGTGGTCTTCACCATGGGCTGCAGAGGAATTTCTGCTCTGTTGCCTGGAACATCTTCTCCTTCTTCCCTGACCTTGGTGTTTGCAGAGTTGTTTCTCTCACGTATGCTTATTCTTTTCTCAAGATGCAATTGCTGTTGCACAGACACTTTTTCCCATTCTTAAACTTGTTACCACAAAGGTGCTACCACCAGTGCGGATGGGCTCAGCCTTGGGCAGTGGTGGGTCTGTCTTGGAGCCAACTGGTGTTGGCTCTATCAAACATACGGGAAGCTTCTAACAGTTTATCATAGAAGCCAACCCTGTAGCTCCCCTGCTACCAAAATCTTATCACACAAACTCGATACACTGTCTTTGGAGTATGCCAGACAACTTTCTCTTGTCTCATTGCCTACGGTCTCCAAATCTTTCTGGATATTTACTTTACTATTTCTTCTTTATAAGTGATTCTCTCCATCTTCCCTCTTTCCATCTCCATTTTTTTCTACTTATTGAATTTGGAGGTGATACACTACAGTCTCTGGATGGTTTGTGGTGTAGTAGTTGTGGTCTCACCTCTGGTGCTTTGTGCACACAGGCCACAAAAGACCACATGATTAAAAGGAGTGAAAGGCTTCTCTGCAATACAGATAAACTTACCCTGAGAAGCAGCATGTGCTTCTGGAATGGTCATGGCCATTTGTTCCTGTGATTTTTTTGGTATTGGGTGGGAACAGTGTCCAATTAGAGGCTTTCTTACAAAATAAATTCAAACTTCAGTGGGGGTATGTCCTGGTTTGGGATAGAACAGAGCTGTTGTTCAATGATTTTTACTTTTTAACTAAAGCTCTTCTAATTAACTGCTCTGTCTGAAGCTAATGATATATTTTCAGTGAACTGCTTGCTTTTAGCAGTGATAAAACCTCATGTTTAGAGTTACTGCCAGTGATTGGTGTACAGACCAAGGCCACTATTGAGCTCGTATCCCACATGTAGGAGGCAGAGAGCACCCTGCACCTGCGGGGAGAAGCAGGCAGGATAAGTGACCCCAAGATTCACCAGTGGGGTGTTCCATCCCATAGCCACCATATCCAGCAAAGCTGAAGGATCAGGAGGGACAACCCCTTCCATCACCCCTTCCATCGCCCTTCCACCTTCTTCCTCGCTTCTGCTGCTCTTGCAGTGGCCGCATCCGAGGAGGATTTCATCCATCCTGCCTTTGATCCTGAGCCCTGTGTTCCTGAACTGAGCTCCAGAATCCAGCTCCTGTGCCCAGTCACTGTCTGTGGCTGAGTCCAGCCTGGGACCTTTCCCAGGGGCTGCTCCTCAGCCAGGGATGATGGTGACATATTGCCACAGGGGAGAGTTGGGTTTGATACTGGTTTTGTATATATTTGTACAAATTCCATTTTATTATCATTATTACTGTTATTATTAGTGGTAGTATTAAAGCTGTTTTCTAATCAATAAGCCTCTCTCCCTTATTCCCCTTCTCTTTTGGGGGTGGGGGGAGGGGTTAACAGAGAGCGTCTGTTACGGCTCTGGGCATGGCCCTGACCCCAAACCATGGCAGGGTCTCAACAGATTATCTCCTAGGAAAAAGGTTTTCATGTGACATGAATAGGGCTAAAGAAATATTTAGCTTTGCCATTTGTGTATGAAATGGTGCAATAAGCCCTTCAGTATCAAAACGCTAAAAATATTCAGATGGTAGTCATGGTTCCATATAGTAACCTTGCTGCCTTTTCCCACTTGGAATGATGTACAGAAAATTGCCAAAGCTGAACCACAGGATTAATTACAGACTCATCATGGAATTCTAAAACCACAATCTTAGCCAGCTAAGCAAGAGCATCTCTCTAACAGAATTAATCAGCTACTGGGTAAACCCTCAGACTAGTAGAAGATGTGATGTAAAAAGAGAGATCAATGAATTTGAGTAGGCTACAATGCCAGTCACTAGGCTTTTTTCTTGAGTAAAAAGAAGAAAAAAAAGCACTGACCGATTACATGCAGTCTTCAACAACATTCTAAATAAACTCTTCAAATAGAATTTAAAAAATGCATTTTAAAGTGACAGAAATTATGCTTACTTTATATTAAAGACTGAAAATAACTAGTTTCTTAACCTACTAAAGGTGATCTTCCTTGCCAGAAGGACTCCTACCAGGAAATGTAAGGGAAGCTTATTTGAAGGTTTTCTGACTGTTAGATGCTATAAATGTCATTCCCTACTGTTGGCACCAGGCTGCTATTTAGCTCTCAGTACACAGAACAGGGAGTGCCCTTTCCTAAATTTGTTTAAATGTCTAAGGCTATTACCTTGTTCTCTCACATAGTACATTATTTTATAGCAAACACAAACAAGTACACTAGCCAAACTCTCTTAAAACCAATTAAAAATAAATAGCACCTGAACAAACTCACTGTCAATTAGCAAGTATTTGGTTACTTTGATAATCACATCACATCACTGAAGGGATACCCACAGAAATTCAATCACTCCAAAAATCAGTAGTATTCCAAAGGCTAGGTAGAAAAGAAAAAGAAAAACTGCAAAGAAAAAGCAGTTCTGGAGTTCTGGAGCACAGGAAGGTTAATTTTCTCTGCCTTTCAACACCCACTCCCCTCCCTCAAGAAAGGGAGATAGAACGAGACCGTTTTCCCTTCTAACATGTTAAAGCTTTCAAATAGCTCCCAGGCATTTTAGAAGCAGTTGTACAGTGTTTGCTTGCCACTTTCAATTAAACATGGTACAGCAATTTGATGTCTACTAATAGGAAGAGTTTATTTAAGAGAATTTTGAAACTCCAAACAAAGAACTATTCACAGAGGTCTGCATTTTCTGGATAAACGCTAAGGACATTTACAGAGACAAGAACAGGGAGAACAACACAAAACACTACCTCCCATGTCTTTAAACTCCCCCAGCGTTCGGTGAATCCAGATAATTTACTGCATATGGCTAAAATGACTGACTGACAAGATTCTGAAAAATCACCGCTAGCTTTGTGCATTCCCTTAGAGGTAGTAGTATCTGCAGAAGCAAACCTATTAGAAGTATTTGAGCCTATTGTAGATTCAGACACCACTGCATTTAACCAAGTTCCTTTCTCCATATGTTTTCATTAAATGGAAGTTTTTCTGGTTGGCTACTCTTCCATTTTAACATTGTGTTTTCAACTGCTTCAATACACAAAGCCTGACAAAGCTGAACAAAAGTTGAAAAAAACACCTTGTTCCTGGGCCTCTCAAAAGGAGGCTGTGACTTCAAGGTGACAACAGTGATCAAAGTGAAAGTGTGTAAGAGAGGGAAAGAAGGAAAGAAATTCAAGGGCTGATTAGGCAACTCGAATGGTAGGAAAGAGATAGCAGAAAGTCAATGGAAAGGCTTGATAGCTAGAAAGAAGCAGTCAAGGGAGATAGTTCTCAAAAGCCCATGTTTTCTAAACCAAGGGTGCAATTAAGTCTATGAGTCCATGACAGATTTGTACTCTAGTTCTATACAAGCATTTTTTAAAATAGGTTAAGGTACTCACTGCACTCAAATATAGAAACTTAACAGAGTTGTTACTTTAACTAGGTATTTATCAAGTCTACCCATAAAGTTCGGGACTAGCATCACATAACTCAATCTATCAGACTTTACTGCTTTGATTCACAAAGTGTTTCAGGATTAACTGAACTGCAATGTTATGAAGACCAAATAGCAAAACACAAGTGGAAGATATCTAGATATTCTTGCTTAACCCCAGAAAAAAGGCCTGACCGGCTCCTTCCTTTTCCAAATAGTGCCTTCAATAATTTAAAGAATTGGAGGCAAAAAAAAATTGCTTTGTATTTTTCAAATTCACAAGGAGCAGAAAACATTTGCACAAAAAGCAATTATAAAATAAAGCCTAGAATCTCATTTATATGAAAAAGTAAAAAGAAATATCACACTCAGTTGTACTCAAAAGGCAGAGGATTATCACAACAAAGTCACATCTCTCCATGTACACAGTTTGTTTACTTTTCGTATATAACTCAGGGACTGAAGGAAGGGAGAATCAATCTCAATTGTATTGATTGTGCCTGCTTCTAATCGGGTTCCCTGCCTGGTTTTCACACATGAAGATACAACAATATCTGAGTAAAAAACAATGCAGAGAAATGCTGTTTCTTTAAAATTAAGATTCCCCCAGACATTTTTTTAATATCAGGGAAGCTTTTCTATTGCTACCAGACTTTGTACTATTGCTACCAGACTTTGTACACATTGTCGATTTATAAAACCTGTTTTGATACTAGATTGATTTGACAGTGTCTCACATAATGAATAAAATTTTAAAAGTACAATAGATTATCCTCTTGGCTTGCAGGCCCAAACTTGACTGGAAGTTGGAAAAAGTGAGGTGCCTCCCTTCCACACACCTACAGCCTCTCAGGGTGTTTGACATGGTTCCACTTGTAAAAACCAGTAAGTGCATGCTAGTCACTGCATGTAGCTACTGTCATTTCTGCTCTGCAGAAGTAAAAAACCAGTGTCTTTTGCAATGATTTCTTGGTGCCATGGCACTTGCACAGAGGCAACTAAAGCCTGAAGAACTTTTAGACTTGGTAAGGATAAGAAAATAACTCAGGTGAGGTTTCAGACGCAGAGGGACAGGTTTGCAGTTCTCTGGGCAAGTCACACAATTTAGGAAAGTGAGCCCAGCTGATGAAAGGCTTTGAGAGACAACAGAAAGCCAGAATCCTAGCAGATATTTACAAAGTGTTTCATCAGACTTTTTTTTTTTTTTCTTTTTTAAACTTTCGGGGCTCAGCCTAAAGCCTCTCTCAAATAATACTCTCATTTCCTGGAAAGTTGTTTCCCATTTCACAGACGCTCAGGAATTATTTCTCATTTCTTGCACTAATATTTCCAAATCCCAGATTTTAAACTACAATTTATTTTACTATTTCCTTAATCTCATATTGGTCTAAATACTAAGAAATTACAATACTAGTTATGATAAGTATAAGTAAATAATAGTTATTATAAGTTAAGATACGTTATGTAAACCTAGACAGAATTCTGTGGCATGACAGGGCTAAATAGACTCAGTGCAAAAAGAAAGGAAGAAAAAGAAAAATTAGGAAGTAGAAACACCTGTAAGAGCTTTTGCAACGGTATTAATGTACAAGAAAGGAACGTGTGATGCAACTCGTCAAGAAACTGTCTACTCCATTCCATAAAATACAGCAATACAGCTGCCCTAGGTCTACAGCCCCATCCTTTTCTGCCTCCATGAAAAGAACAACCTCCCTAAGATATCTGCTGCTTTTATACACAACCACGACCATCTCAAAAGACAAGAGAAGCAGCCACACACACTTTACAACTGACTTTTCAGATAAGAGTATTGGAACTCTGACTGCAGCTGGCATTTTCTGACATTCCCTATACGCAAGTATGCAAATTTTTAATAATGAAAATTATCTTTGAATTATTTTTTTTGTTTTACTAATTGGTAGATATTTTTCTATAGCAGAAGCAGTAAAGTAAGATTCAGCTCTCTACCTTGATCGGATTTTTCTCAAGTGTTCTGCCCACACACCTTTCCAGTCAATCCATGCACCAATTCTGAATTAGGCAAGAAGCCAAAACAGAGTTAGAGCTATTTTTTTCATCCTTCTACAAAAACCCTACAGCAACTATGCATGTCCCTGAGCAACTTCATTACAGAAAATGAAACTCAGCTGTGAATACAATATATGGAGCTGACTAGGCCATCAAACACCCAGACTGGAATCGTAGTAAGAATCAGAGCAGACGCAGTTTAATGGTAAAATAAATGAAAATATAAAGATGAAACACTTTACTACTTGCAAAGACACTGCTTCTGAAAGTTTTATTTCCCCAAAGTATATATATTTTGATTTTTATCCTGATGTGTCTTTTGTGATATCAAAACTCAATTTTTGTTCATTTTTGATTTCTGGATACCTTCCTGTGCTGAACTGCACTCAACAAAATTAAGCTCATACACAGAATAGTGTGCGTGAAAATGTTTTGTTTCCATCAGCTATGTCAAGTATTGGCTCCAGCTTTTACTTTGACTTTGTACTACTACTTTTTTGGATAACTCTCAAGTTTCCTTTTCTCCAAAGATTAACACATCTCCTATGAAATTATAGTATCCCAAAGGAGACAAGCAGAATTGCAGGTAATTAATTTTTCTTATTTTTTT